AAAAAAATACTAAAATCAGTCCAAGCAAATAATTCCATTTAAGGAGGATTCATGGCTGTCTATAAAATCAAAATCAATTCAAATGAGACAGTTCCCATCTTGCAGCACACCTATAAACTGGATTGATCTCCATCATGCAGCACACCAAACTTTCCATATCAAACAAATATCAAATTATTGGAACAAGTTATCAAGATCATAACTTATCAATGTAATAATAGCAGCAGCATCCAACACTTAATTCAATAAACTGAAACTAAAACCTGTTCAAAATCAAAATTTAGGGCTAAAAAAATCACCTTTTCAACAAAGTACCAACGTCAGTGGCCATGGCGATGCTGCAGATTCCTTCAGCTGCTCGAACGTTGATTCAGAAAGACTTTTATATTATTACGAATTAAAATAAAATTGCGAAAATTCATTGTTATGTAGCCAAATATGTTGATGCCAAGAAGACGAAGGTATATGTAAAGTAATCTAATTTTTGTTTGAACCCTTTTCGATTTGGGCCTTTGATTGAGATCACACTAAGCCCATTGATTAATAAACTAGGCCAGGACCCAAGCAATAGCTAGTGTAGTGAAACGACTTATTTTCTTAAACGACTCATTTTCTCCGAGTTGGTAAACGAAACGAGTCGCTTTTGAACTCAAATGATTTAGCTTATCAAAGGTTGAGCTAAATGTCAAGTCGAGTTGAATCGAGCCAAGCTTGTTTAAAACTCGCTACTTAATGATCCAAGCTCGCTCGAAGATTGGGGTTTGTATGTAAATTTCTAAATTTTTAGCTTAATTCGGTTTGTTAAAATTCAAATTCAGCTTGTTATTGTTAATAAATGATTGGGGTTTTAGCACATTTTACAATTCGTTTAGTTAACGAAGCAATAAGAAAAATTCAAACTCAAACTCTAGTATTATAAACTCGAATTCGGCTCAACTAGTTTAAATTTAAAGTCTTACTCACGATAATGAATTCTAGCCTAATATTATTTTCCCAAGATATTAAATGGTATTGAGTATTTGTCTGATTAAAAACTTATCCTCTCTAGAACTGGAAGAAATCAGTATTATCGCCCCAAGAATGTATGATTGAAATATAAACCAATATATAAATTGAATATATTAAATTCACAACATTCAATAATAGGGTCGATATTTTCTTGAAAAGAAATGAAATCTATTTAAAATTGTTTCTCTCAATTAAATTTTAAACTTAAAAATGTGCAAAATTGACACGTATAATAGTCAATTATTATAGTGGAACACAATTGTATTCATAACAAACTAGTGTTAAACCCGTGCGATGCACGGGAGAATATGGTTCAATAACAATTTTTTTAGTAAGTTAATTAATTGAGGAAATGCTCTTCTTGAGGGTGGCGACCTCATCTGAGTTGCGTTTGGTCGACCAATCCTTCAGGATTTTCTACCCGAGGTCCTGATCGGCCTCCTACTTCTCCAGTCGAGTAAAGACTGAAGAGTTGGGGGATTTTTCCTAGTGTTTGGTCACTGGTCGGCTCTTCCCGATCTCCTTCGTCCGTGTTGGGTCTACGTTTTTTTCTTTATGATTTTTGTCGCCCTGTCCAGTGACAGGGTTGTGGCTTGGACTGGATCGGTCCTTTGCTCTTGTCTCCTGCGGGATGAGTGTCTTTTTTTGTTGGTGTTTTGAGCATGTCAATCGCCGGTGGAGGTGGCGCGTGTGACGCAGATGGCATAAAGCGCATCATGAGGCTAGTCATGCCTTTTAGGAATTCTCAATGGCTATAGCCGTCGTACGTGGTTGCTCAGTTGTTTGTGGCTGGGATTCGACTTCTTGGCTTGACGAAGACATCTTGTTCGGTCGTTCTTGCATGTTGTTGTTTTCTTCATTGTGATTGTGGTGGTTTTTCAAGCAGAACGGTAACCTCAAACGATATGAGGTCGCCCTTCCTCTAGCGTCAAACTGTTGACCATGGTATTGGATCAACCAATTACACCAAATTAGTGTTAATAACAAAGTGTTTAATCAGGTTAAATTTTGTACAATGTGTTGAATATGCAAAAAAATGAATAAATAAATAAATAAAAGATGACGAGGTCGGACATTTTGCAATTGAGCTCAGGCGCTCGTATTAAATGCAGTAATTAATGAGAGAATATATGTCTTTTGTTTGGAGAACCTTTGTACAAGGGAACTCTATGAGTATTTATAGTAAGAGTGGCCCAGTTATTGTTCTACAGACAATACAATCAAGAATTTAATAGAAATGAAACGCATTCAATATGGCACATGACCCTATAAGGCTACGACCCGTAAGCTGTCAGATTATTGGTGGGCATGTTCCATCTTTAATGATTTGGTTGCATGTTACCTTTATTTTAGTATTATCTAACGCCTTAGTGCGCTTAACTCGGATCTTCGATATTAACTCTTGGCTTATTTAATCCAAGTCTTGAGTCTAATTTTGTTTATTGGTAGTTTGCAGGTCGGGCTTGCACTTATGGTCATCCGACCTGTGTGTCATGTCTGTTGTTTGCTCGGCATCCAGGTGTTCGTACTTCCGGAGTTTGCTTTCACACGCAATTCCCCGACTCGAATGCTCGATTCAGTTATTTTTTCATTTAGCGACAATATTTAATTCTAGATCCACCCAGCTTAGCTCGTATGTCAATAGTAGGTTTGTTTTTTGGGATTTTGGGTGTGTGGGAACAACTTTGGCTAACATAGCCATATGGTCAGTGTTTGAGTTGGCATTGTGTAAGGACCTTTCTTCTTGGAGTGATAGAGAGTATATCTTTATGAGATTGCAAGAGTGAAGATAATAAGAAGTAGCTTTTATGAGTGGCATATGAGTCATTGAGCCCTATTAAAAATTTCATGACACAATCTTTTTGTTGGGATTCAGCCATGGACTCAAAATATATTACAAGTACAAGAAGTAAAAGCCCCAAAATGACATCGAAAAATAGATCTATTTGTAACATACTTATCCAATAACCCCTTAAAAGTATTATAATAATGAGTAATAGACATTGAACCCTAATCCATTGTACTAAGAGATTTTTCCAATTGAAAGAGTCTCAGACCACTACTGCGTGCATAGCGATTTTTTAGTCCATCCGAGACATCTTCTGCATAAGTGATAAACAACATGTACTGCCTTATTTCTTTAGCGACAGAGTTAAGAAGCCAAGACAGAACCAAGTTGTTTGCTCTAATCCAAGATACATACAAAGTAGGGTTACTAATAGAGAAAGAGGATAGTTGAGTGCTACTGTTAGCAAAACTATCTTTACTCTTGACAGTTAGTGCCATTAGGACCGCATGCGACCAGAAATTGTAGTTTTTACCATTGAAAGGATCGGCAATGATGAGCGCACATGGATTGTCGTTGGGGTGTACAAAATATGGCGATGCCATATTATCGGTAGGGTTTACGATAGTATCCGTGGCAGTATTTGATCAAAACAAACATATTTCAGAAGTATAAAAATCAACAAACGTAGTTCTAGAAGATGTAGATCAGATTTTTTTTTAAAAAAAAAAAAGAACAGCCGGTTTTCAGAGAAGGAACGAACAAAATCGAGCAAAATCTAATAGATGGAGACTCAATTAATCAACATGAAGTGTTTGCAGAAGCGAAAATCAAAGGATCGGTGACGATTGGTACCATATTAAGATGAAAATCAAACTGATGAAATGAGATTTCGGGGACGAACAATCTGGAGAGAGAAACAGAAAAGAAGGGAAATTGCATTTAAAATTAAGAAAATAGGAAAATGAGAAACACATCTAGTTTTTATGACCGTATTTATGTTTATTATTTAGAGTTACATAAGAGTCCACAGATAAAATTACACAATAAATCTTGTTGTTTTATAAAGAGAACTTGACAACATGACTAATACAACTTATCAAAAGCTAATTTATTCATATAATGTTATTACAAACTCACCAAGAGAACAAGTTCAAATTTGGTTGCTTCAAGGAAAAGTTGTAGTAAAATTGCAATGAGAGATAAACAAAAATAAAATAAAATAAAAAAGCTTTGTGATAGTAAATTAATAAATATTCAGGTACAAAAATCAGGCTTACAGCTTGGGAGAATGCTACCATCTCGTTACGGGATGGTTCCGTTGTATTTTTAAGCGTTGGATTAACTACCCATCACTGAATTACATATACATCTATGGCTAGAAAACACAACGGAACCATCCCGTAACGGGATGGTATAGCATTCTCCTACAGCTTGATGTTGCATGGCCACATAAGAGGCTGTTGATTTTCCTATCATGCAATTTCTCCAAGTAGCGTAATCTCAACTCCTTTTTTCAGGTCAAAAAGATGTAAAAGAAAAGGCCAACTTTGATGGACCTTGTCTCCTTGTATTATTTCAAATTAGTGATGGGCTCATTTTATTAAACAAGCAACCTAGTTTTGTAGTACATCTACTACTATTTGTTAGTACTTAGTATATATAAATTTGTTATTAAACAAAACTTGTTGTTACGTGAGTTTAGATCAAGTTGTTGGATAAACTATTTAGGAGTGAGCTCATCGTATAGTTAACGAGTCGAGTTGAACTCGTTAATGTTTACAAATATGATTTTTATAAATTTCTATAGCTCTGTTGAGTTCGGCTCATCCATGCTCGAACTCGACTTGTCAATATTATTAGATGAGCAGAGATCGATGCACATTTCATTAACGATCCAAGCTTGTTAGCTATTGCTATTGATGTTGGAGCCCAAACTCGAGCTCGAATACTCGTTTATGCCTCTAGTTTATATTTTTAAATAAAGTATGTCTAGCGCTATGCTAAAGTAGAAAATTTAGTTGGAGTCGTATTCTTTTTTCTTTTTCTTTTTCATTCGGGATATATCCAACCCTCGTCCCTAAAGCTCAAAGGCTGAATTTGAGTATTAAGACCCAAAACTCGGAATTCGACTGACATTTGAAGACTTTTTAAGATTTAAGATTTTCTAAGATTTTTAAATTTTGGAGGAATCCTATGAAATACCAAGTCTAGAGGTGGGATTTATGGTGGGTTTCGTATATGTTTTTTTATTTAGAAATCCCAACAAATCTTAAAAAGTCTTTACAAATCCTAGTCTAAAATAATTTTAAACCCCATGATTTAGTAAGATTTTTTAAAATTCTAATTAAGTACCTCAAGACTTTTAAAAGTCTTGAGAAGTCTAAATTAAATACACCAAGATTTCTAAAGTCTGAAAAAAATTTAAAAGTTTTCATAAATCTCAATTAAATATACATCTTACATGTGAAATATCTATATAAATTGCTATTTTATTACAAATTCATAATTTGATTTCATAAGTATAATTTAATTTC